GGGGGTGAGGGTGGGGAGGGAGACAAAACTGGCTCTGTTGCCCCTCCCTGGACCCTGGCTCCTGAGAACCCCTCCCTGACTAGACAGTGAAGCTGCCAATCACTGCCAGCACTCCTTCCCGCTAGGAGCCAGGATCCCGCTATGGGCTTTGAAACCTACCGCAGTCATCATGTACTTTATTGGAATAAAAAGAAAATGAGGAGAGAGTCACAACAAAAAGCCACAGAATCAAGGCAAAGGAAAGAGTCACCTCCTTCATACATTAACTCTTGTGTTGCTGTGTTTTTTTAAGCTGCACAGATATAGATTGCCCTACTATCCTCGCCCTCCCAATGCCTCAGTTTCCCCTCCATACTCCCACCCCACCCCATTCTCCCTCACTGCCCATTGTGCCCACAGGTGAAGACAGCACTGACCCTGCAGGAGGCTGTGAAGCAGAGATGGCCCTCTGGGAGGGGAGGTAACCGGGATGTCCTCTCTTTCCAGGGCTCACCCTCTCCCCTGCCCTGAGAAGGGGAATCAGACCCCGGGGTACAGCTGAGCTGCCTTACATTGGTCTCATGCTGAACCTGCTCACTGCTCTCCCCACGCTGGTCCTTGTTTTTACCTGCCTATGCCCCCTAAGGCAGGCAGTTGAGGAGAGTGGGGCCCCAGACATGAAATACTTTGCCTGGGATCACAGAAGCAGAGTCTGAGGGGCATCACAGGATGAAGGGATCTGACAGGCAGCCTACTTTGCCTGGAGGACCCTCACTATTGAGACACATCGGAGCGTCATCCCCCATTAGCGGGGCCGTTTGGCCACCAGTCTCTGATTCCATCTATTTCATTATTGCCACCACTGTCCTGAGACTTTCCCCTACGGTAGGTGCCTGGAGGCCTATGACCCCAGAACCCTGGATGTCAGGCCAGGGAAGGACCTCAGCCAGCACAGTTTTGTCTGAAAGTGGCCCCTGGAGGGGCAGCCTCTTGTATGAGTTCAGACAGCTAACCTGGGGCACACTTATTTTTACATACTTAGTTGTTGGTAAACCTCCATGACCTTGAGGGTGGCTTTGATTTTTGGAACAGTCCAAAGTCATTTGGAGCCAAGCTTGGCAAACCACTTGGGAGGTCAAGTCAGGCAACACTCTGGGGTTGTGAGGGTGGCCTTCTACCCGGGCTTCAAAGCTGGCTCTGAGGATACTCTCAGAGAAGTTCCAAGGATACTCCACTCCTCCAGCCCAAGTTTCACTTAATTCCTTTCTCCCTATGCTCGTGACTGGTGGCCCTCTCTTTTTCCTTCCAGAGCTGAGTGCACCAGCCCAACTGGTGAGTGCCCCCCCTTCAGTCCCCACCTCACATTTTAGGGTTCTGACTAGGAAGTTGGCAGGATTGGGTCGGGGGCCTGGAAGGGCCAGGAAATATCTCCGAAACCAAGGAAAACGGCCCAGAGCTGAGTTCTTCCCTGTCTGCCGCAGGCCCCTGGCAGGATCTTAAGTCAGTTGTCCTGAGGGTGCCACCCAGGGCTACTGGGAGGGCGTTGCCCAGAGCTTCTCCTGGACACCCACATTCTCTGAGAGCTGGGGCCTGTGGGCACCTCTGAAGGGAAAGATGCTCGTGGGGTACCCCCTTCCAGGCAAAGGAGCAATTTTAATCATTCCAGCTGGCTCCCCAAAAGAGGTCCACCTTGTGAGGGGGAAGTGAAGTGCCAATAGCCTCCCCACCCACAGTGATGGTTGTGCCCTCCCTCCCCCTCACTTGTCAAACCCTTGGTCCCACATACCCCTCCCAACCTTAGGTGCCAGGCTCTGCAAACGAACCTGATGAGGCCATCTACCTGGAGTGTGAGCCCAGTCCAGGTGAACACCTCCCTCCGCCCCAGACCCATCCAGTCCTGAGGCCCTCCGCTGCTCACAGCATGACACTTTGTCCTGTCTCCATCTTCTTCCCTTGTCTTCTCTCACCACCCTCAACACACATTTGCCTTCAGACATCCACATGGACACACACGCTTCCACCTTTGGTCAGGTTGATTCCCACTGTGCCTACAAGGGAGGGGACCCCTTAGAGCAAGGGCTGTGTGGGGCTTCCCAGCTGTTGCAGCCTGGTTGCCAGGACTCCCAGAAAGCCCAGGCTGCAGAGAAGTGGCGGGCTCTGCTGGTGTCCTCAGGCCCTCTTGGTCTGCATGGATCTCCTACCTGGTGCCCAGCCCAGCCCAACCTGCCCTCTGTTTTAGTCCCTGCCTTGCCTCAGACTCTGCACTCCCAAGTCCTGATGCCCCCAGTCCCTCTGCCAAGGACATCAGTAGTACCCAGGTGAGTGCCCCACCACAGGGTGTGTGTGTGTGTGTGTGTGTGTGTGTGTGTGTGAGAGAGAGAG